TCTCACGTTACATTTCTGTTAAATTCAAAGCACGACATCATACAGTCCAGAAAAATGAATGAACCCGTTTAATGTATGAATATATCTCAGGATACGTCATACTACATCAGTGATTTGTAGACATACATGAGTATTTTGAACTGGATTCGAAAGTGAACCGGTAACCAGTGCAGTGAGGCCAAAACTGGTGTAATGTGCTATCTTTTGCCTGTACTGGTTAAAAATCGGGCTGCTGCATTCTGGACAAGTTGTAGTTGTGCAATGGAGGTCTGACTGATACCAAACAGGAGTGAATTGCAGTAATCAAGCCTAGATGTAATGAATGCATGTATTACTGTCTCCAGGTTATCTTTGGACAATATGGGCTTCAGTTTAGACAACCGCCTCAGTTGAAAGAAGCATGATTTAACAATCATGTTTACATGATTAAGTTTCAGGGAAGGGTCCATTATCACGCCCAGATTAGTGACTCTTTGTTATTCTGACAGGGTTAGAGCGGAAAGGTCGATGCAGTGGTTTGTGATCGTGTCGTGGGAGGGAACAACATGACTTCAGACTTATTTTCATTGAAACTTAAGAAATTTAAAGCCATCCAGTCCCTGATGTCAGCCAGGCAGTTGAGCAGCGGTTGAATAGAGCATGTACCATTGTGTCTTAGGGGGAAGTAAATTTGACAGTCATCGGCATAGAAGTGGAAGGGCATGTTGTGTTTCCGGAAAAAAGCACCAAGCGGCAGCAGGTATAAAGAGAATAGGAGGGGGCCCAGGATGGACCCCTGCGGAACCCCCCATTTAAGCTCTGCCTCTGCTGAACTAAAATCCTTTATGGAGACACAAAAGGATCTGTCAGCGAGGTAAGATCTGAACCAATTGAGGGCTGATCCTGTGATGCCCACCCACTGCTCCAACCTAGTAATGAGGATCGCATGGTCGATGGTGTCAAAGGCAGCTGTGAGGTCCAACAGGACAAGCAGCACAGAATTACCAGTATCTGTGGATCTGAAGATGTCGTTAAAGACCTTCAGCAGGGCAGTGTCAGTGCTGTGGAGAGGTTTAAAGCCAGATTGGAATAGCTCTAAGATGGTGTGACCTTCCAGGAAGCACTTCAACTGGGACTCGCCTATTTTCTCCAGTAGTTTAGAAACAAATGGGAGTTTGGAGACAGGCCGGAAGTTGGACACGACTGAGGGGTCAAGGTTTGTTTTTTTCAAGAGAGGCTGGACAGCAGCATGGCACCACACCAGTGGATAAACTACTGTTTACTATATCAAGAATGGACAGACCTAGAGTTGGAAAAACCTCCTTTAGTAGTTGAGGGGGGACCACATCAGAAGGGGAGCCAGAAGGTTTCAAGCTGCACATGACCTGCTCTAGAGAAGATAGAGTGATGGGTTCAAAATGGTCAAATAGAGCTACAGACTGAGGTGGGATGGATGAGTCATGAGATGGAGGGGAAATGAGAGCCCTGGTGGTCGCAATTTTTTCCAAAAAGAAATGTAAGAAGTTGTCGCACAGCTCAGTCGAGGCTTCCAGAGGTGATGGTTCAGTGAGGTGGAGAACAGAGTTTAGGGTGGAGAAGAGGACAGGTGGGTTGCGAGAGTTTGAGGTAATGATATCAGAGAAGTATTTGGATTTAGCAGCTTTCACTGCTTTCTGATAACGGCGCCAACTCTCTTTAAGTATTTGAAAAGAGACCTGCAGCCTGTCTTTCCTCCACTTTCGCTCCGCCCTCCTACATTGCTGCCTAATGGCCTTGGTGACATCACTCAGCCAAGGTTCTGCTCTGAGTTTTGATTTTTTGGTTTTAACAGGTGCAACATGATCCAGAGTCTTTAAGCAGACAGAGTTGAACTGGGATGTCAGTTCCTCAGTGGTGGTGAGAAACACCGGGGGCTGAATTGTCATTTCAGAGTTATAAACATCTGTGAAACGTGCGGCAGTGAAGTGGTTACTGATCCAGGTACAACGTGCAGGAATGCACGGCTTAGGAGTTAGATGGGGGAGGGTGAACTCAAAGTGGACTGGCATGTGGTCTGAAAAAACATTATCACCAATAACAAGATTATTAACAGTCACATCATGAGTTAAAACAAGGTCCTGTGTATGTCCACGCTCTTGGGTGGGACCGTTTATGTTATGAGTGCTTAGTGTATATTTAGTTGATGTTTTTCTTAGTTCATATCTTAGATGTTATTACTTTTTTTCTTATACATGTTATTGTTGGATGTAACTGGGACCCTATATGAAATAGAACGTTAGTTACTTTCTGTAACCCCAGATTCTATGAATATAGGCGTAGCCCTTTAAGCGCCGGGCCTCACTGGCTCCTAAATGGCTGAAGAAAAAGCTATTTGGGAGCCGATTACCCGCTCTTAACGTAATTTATACGGACCGGGTGGGGCCCACACAACAGGTGGGCGTGGACTAAACTTTTCAGTGCGATGCTTTGCATGACGGAATAAACCCACTAGCGAGGGCCTTAAAGGGCTACGCCTATACTCATAGAATCTGGGGTTACAATACGTAACCAACATTTTAATGTCACATTTTTATCTTATATATCTAAACTATTGACAGTTTTTATTTTTGTCCTTGGTTATTTGCAAAATGGAAGACGAAATACGTCACCAAGCCTAACAGTAGTATCAGTTTGACGTACCGGGATGTTTTTATGAGTACAAGTACAAATAATTGATGCTGCTATCAGGCCTGATACCTATACAGGTACAAACCGGATTCCAAAAAAGTTGGGACTCTAAACAAATTGTGAATAACAACTGAATGCAATGATGTGGAGGTGCCAACATCTAATATTTTATTCAGAATAAAACACAAATCACAGATCAAAAGTTTAAACTGAGAGAATGTACCATTTTAAGGGAAAAATCTGTTGTTTCCAAATTTCATGGCGTCAACAAATCCCAAAAAAGTTGGGACAAGTCCATTTTTACCACTGTGTGGCATCCTCTCTTCTTCTTACAACACTCAACAGATGTTTGGGGACAGAGGAGACCAGTTTCTCAAGTTTAGAAATAGGAATGCTCTCCCATTCATGTCTAATACAGGCCTCTAACTGTTCAATTGTCTTGGGCCTTCTTTGTCACACCTTCCTCTTTATGATGCGCCAAATGTTCTCTATAGGTGAAAGATCTGGACTGCAGGCTGGCCATTTCAGTACCCGAATCCTTCTCCTACGTAGCCATGATGTTGTGATTGCTGCAGAATGTGGTCTGGCCATATTGTGTTGAAAAATGCAGGGTCTTCCCTGAAAGAGATGACGTCTAGATGGAAGCATATGTTGTTCTAGAACCTGAACATAGTTCTCTGCATTAATGGTGCCTTTCCAGACATGCAAGCTGCCCATGCCACAAGTGTTCATGCAACCCCATACCATCAGTGATGCAGGCTTCTGAACGGAGTGTTGATAACAACTTGCGCTATCTTTGTCCTTTCTGGTCCGGATGACATGGTGTCCCAGTGTTCCATAAAGAACTTCAAATCGTGACTCATCTGACCACAGAACAGTCTTCCATTTTGCCACACTCCATTTTAAATGACCCCTGGCCCAGTGCAAACGTCTGAGCTTGTGGAGCTTGCTTAGAAATAGCTTCCTCTTTGCACTGTAGAGTTTCAGCTGGCAATGGCGGATGGCACGGTGGATTGTGTTTACTGACAATGCTTTCTGGAAGTATTCCTGAGCCCATTCTTTTATTTCCTTGACATTGGCATTCCTGTTTGAGGTGCAGTGACGTTTAAGGGCCCGGAGATCATGAGCATCCAGTAGAATTTTACGGCCTTGACCCTTACGCACAGCGATTGTTCCAGATTCTCTCAATCTTTTGACGATGTTATGCACAGTTGATGATGATAACTTTAAAGGCTTTGCTATTTTACGCTGGGTAACACCATTCTGGTATTGCTGCACTATCTTTCTGCGCAACAATGGTGGAATTGGTTATCCTCTTACCATCTTGGCATCTGAGAGACACTGACACTCTGAGAAGCTCTTTTTATACCCAATTATGTTGTCAATTGACCTAATTAGTGTTAATTGGTCTTCCAGCTGTTCGTTATATGCTCAATTTCCTTTTTCCAGCCACTTATTGCTACTTGTCCCAACTTTTTTGGGATTTGTTGACACTGTGAAATTTTGAATCAACATATTTTTCCTTTAAAATGTTAAATTTACTCAGATTAAACTTTTGATCTTTCATCTATGTTAGTCTACAAATAAAATATTGACATTTGCCATCTCCACATCATTGCATTCAGTTTTTATTCACAATTTGTTAAGTGTCCCAACTTTTTTGGAATCCGGTTTGTATTTGTATCGGGACACCACTGCACTGCAGCTGTGAAATGCAGTAATTACACAGATCTGTTCACCTTATTTCATCACACACTAACTGGAATTTTTCCTTTATTTAAATTCCTGTTTTAGTTCCTTGTCTTTGGACTGAGGACAGGATCTTAATGGGCTTGAGGGATATATGTTTGTGCTGCAGGTGGTTGATGTGACATGGAGGTATTCCTGCAAACATCCAGAGGTTTTGTCAAGAAGAACAAGGGTCAAGGAGGCCTGGCTTCTGCACACCATTAATCGGCTGAACGCTGCTGTAAGTATGAATTCTCTTTAACTCAGCATGTTGGTTTAAAGGCCACAATGACAGTGGTGTGAAACCCTTTCAGAGACAGCAGTCCCTAAGTCTAGACAGGAAGACGGAGCTGACAGAGAGACTGCTGGTGGAACTGGTGGAGTTCATTTCTCCAAAGAAACCAAAAGCAGGAGAACTGGGGGGGCGTAACTCTGGCTCTCTGGCTTGGCGGCTAGCACGAGGGGAGACCGAAGCAGCTGAAACCAAGACAACCGCACAGGTACTTTTCATGACACTCTGCTTAACCAGAAAGTTTAGGTTGGTTTCCATCAGATCAGTATTGGTGTGTGGACAATATGTTTCAAGGGTCATGGAAAGGATCAGGTCAGTTCTATTTCGTATAGGCTTTGCCCTTTAAGGCTGTCTCTGGTAGGTTTTATCCCGTCATGCGAAGCATTGTACTGAAAAATTTAGTCCACGCCCAACTGCTGTGTGGGCCCCACCCGGTCCGTATAAATTACGTTAAGAGCGGGTAATCGGCTCCCATTTTTCTTCAGCAAGCTAATAGCACTGTCAGAAGAACGAAGAAGGAAAGTTGTTTAGCTTGACCAACCTTTGTTAAGACTGCCTTTGGCCCCGCCACGTCAACCTCCTGTCGTCCCGGTGAGTTCTCCTCCCAGAGGAGAAGCAGACGAGCAGTCTTGTTTCAAGGTAAGCGCCGAGGAGTATTCTCAGTGGCAGGTTGCTACACGCTGGACGACGCCATCTTGTGATTTTCCTCTTATCGCCGACTCTCGAAGCAAATTGGATGGTTCCTCAGGGACAGGCGATGTCAGCAGCAGCCCCCCGTTGCTCATTCCCTCCTGGAGAGCGTAGTGTCGGTAGAGGGGGGCTGAGCGAATGCTCAACCCCCCCCACACACACACACACCTTGTTTTGCATTGGCGACCACACCGCTCACAGCCGTCGGTGCCCCCCTCTGGAGCTGCCTGGCATAATCCAGGAGACGACTGACATGAAGGGACTTTTTCCGTCCCTCTCCTTTCCCCGCCCAGATCGGATGATCTAGCGGGAATGTTTCTGGGTTCCACTCTGGCTCGCTGTCCTGATCCCATCTGGCCTCATTTTCCCAGCAGTGACGTCCTACTGGGACGAGGCCGCAGCCGGTTCCTGGTAGAATAGGGTGCTGGTTCCCACATCCGTGCCCATCACCAGAGTGGAGGGGTTTCACCGAGCGGAAATTCCCTCAGTGCCCCCCTGGAGCCGAGCCTGGCGGAGGCTTTCGGAGCAAAGATGTCCAGGTTGGACCAGCGTCCTGCACCTCCGGGTAAGCATAACCAGACAGTGACGTCGCTCTCCAACCGAGCTCACCAGTGTGCGTTCCAGGCGGCCGCAGCGAACAACACGTTACGCTGCTGGCGTACAATGTTCAAGAGGCGGGAGGAGACGTAATGCTCCCTCTGCAAGGCAGCTGACGTCATCCTCAACCTGTGCGCCTCTTTGTTGTCTGCCGGTCTCGCATCGCAGCCGGAGGACAAGGTTTTCCAGAGGTCCACCTGGCCCGTTACTCCACCTTCCTCTCGGAGGAGCTGCAGAAAGCCTTTTTGTTGGAGGGCCCCCATCAACGAGGGATCATTTTCAAGACGCTCCACGGCTGCACGTCTCCCCGCTCCACTACGCCAGCCCCGCCCGTCAGACATCCCCGGCATCCGGAGGTTCAGCGTTTCCCGGAGATCGCCAACAGGTGGTGCCCTAGGACAACACACCGCAGAGCTCAGGGGGAGATGACTCAAAAATGACGGTTTGCGGAGGATGTGTGTGAAGATGACACAAGTTTTTGGAATAAAACATCATTTAATGATGAAAGTGTCTATTTTAGCCAGTTTGTCAGCTTGGATGACCTGACGGCGGCTCCATCACATCCTCCGCACGAATCAGCCGGTGGCCTTTAAAAAGGTTTTTTTCAATCACCATCGCTCCAAAACAAGGCGAGACGTCCGTATGACACAACCGTCGTAAGCGAATGTGGTCCGCACAACGATTTCAGTGGAATAACTCGTTTTCAGCCCAAGCTGCACACCTCTCACCAAAGCGGTGTCAAACGCACGCTTCCGCGACGCGAGCAGCCTTCACCCAAACGGCGCTGCGTTGATGAAGGCGCGCACACAGCTTCTCAGTGCTCGCCCGCTCACGTCACCATAAACGTGAGACCGCTGAACAAGCCTAGTAATGAATGTCGTTCTCGGCAGGAGCGACACGCGTCTCACCGCAGTGGTGTCAAACGTGTGCTCCCGCGGCGTCAACAGTTTTCACACGCCTCTCCTCAACACACGTTGGTCCACATAGACATGAATGTGGCCCCGCAGCCCGAGCGCAGCACACAGACGCGCTCAGAGCCCTTTCGAGGAAGCCTCGCCTTTGGGTCACGTGGAACCCACTCCCGCGGCTCATGACAGCGGTCGAGGCGGTGGATTGGCTGACATCTGTAAAAATATGACGCACCACCTAAACACGCGCCCACTCCACGAACGTTACGCGGAGTGGCTGCAAGCTTGCTTGCCAGACATGGATGGCCAAGCTGATAGCAGGGGTTACACGTTGCAACTTGCAGCCCGACCCCCTCCGTTCGGAGGAGTTTTTAGAGGCGGTCCTGTCTTCCAGACCAGGTCTCATCCCTAAAGGCAGAAGTCCAGGGGTTCCCGATGGAGAGGAAAACACAGGTTTTTACTCATGTTACTTCCTGGTTCCAAACGGACCGGAGGAACGAGACTAATTTGGATCTGTCAGTTTTCAACAAGGCGATCGTGGGCAGACCGCTTCACATGTCGTCACAGGCTCAGGTGTTGACGTCACACCTGCTAATTCTGGGCTTCGCCATAAAATTGGACAAGTTCGATTCTCCCAGCCCAGACGATTGTTATCTGGGAGTGGGGCTAAACTCGTTTATTCATTTATCACAGACGAGAATCGACTCTCTAATGCCCCTTTTCCATTAGTACTGGTACGGGCCGACTGGAACCTACTTGGCCCAGTTCTGAGGCTTTTCCATTAGTACTGGTGCTTAGCACCTGTTACTATTTTCAGTACCCTTGGCTCGGTGGTTCTAACCCGAACGAAGAGGTACTAAAACGTGACGTCAGAACACTGTCGGTCACTGATTGGTCAGGGGCGGAGTCGGGGGCGGAGTCACTGGATCCTTCAGAAACTTTTCAAAACAATAATCCGCCATTTTCAATTTCTCGGACTGGAGCAGCGGCTGGACTTATTTTAAAGATTTTAAAAACAATACTGACAACATCTTGGTCTAATGCTGATGTGCTGGCATTTTTTGTGCTTGGTGGCCGACAACATAATTCAGAGCAAGCTGGATGGAGCTCTGCTGGTGTACCCCGGTCCTCCCCCCGGAGCCTCGGAGCGCCAGGCCGGGCAGGGCGTCATCTCCCCGGCTCCAAGTTCAGCTGGTCACCGCGGAAGATCCATCAATGTGCCGACTCAGAGGCTCGGGTTCCGGATGCCAGCCTTGTGTGCTCAGAGCTCCGCAGGTCACTGCGAAGCTGGAGATGGGGACTCGCAGATGGCCGTTGTGAGACCCGGCCGCGCGTAATCATGAAGGCTGAATCCTGATCCCACCCGGCAGTCAGGTGGACTGGACAGTCTGGGACGGACGGTGGAAGCGATTTTTAAATAAAATAATATTTTGTTTTTATACAAAAAATGTTTTAAAAAATTGCTGAAGCGATTTAAAAATGAATTTTTTTTTTTATACGTAAAATGCTTTTTAAAATCGCTTTCACCATTCGTCGCAGACCCGTCTCTGTCCGCCTGTCTGCACGGGTCGAGCCTTCATGATTACGCGCGGCTGGAGTCTTGGAACGGCCTCTGTGAGTCACCAGCTGAGCTCAGAGCTGGGAAGATGAGCCTGCCCGTCCCGTCTCCGGAGGAGAGGATCGTGTAAAAAAATAACATATATATATATATATATATATATATATTAGCGTTGAAGATTAAAAAAATAATAAAATAAACGGTGCCAGCTTCATCATGAAATCCTGTTTTCACTTTGACTGTTAACTCAGTTGAAAATCATAAAAAGACACAAAACTATTGGATCTCAGGAATATTTCCCTCAAACATGTTTAAAGAAAAGAGACCTTCAGTTCAACTTTATTTTAACCCACAAATGTACAAATCACAAAACAAGAACTTTAAAGCAAAGCTAAAAATAAAATGTATATATGTGAACAAGAAAGAAAACCACACATTTGAAAAAATGTGTGGTTTTTCAAATTAACATTAAAAGTAGACACGAGTGCAAATACATCAAATGATGATGAAAACCTATAAAAATTTAAATCTAAATGTTTTTGTAGAATCTGGTTCATCAGAATTTTAATTTATATACATATAGATATAAATATATATAAATATATATATATATATATATAATATATATGTGTATATATATATAAATACATATATATGTATATAAATATATATGAATATATATAAATACATATTGTGGGGCCGAGATGGTGTAGAGGCATGGCAGCCGGCTTGGGACCCGAAAGTCCCAGGTTCGATCCCCGGTCACTGCACATCACGTGGCGTCTCTGGGCAGCACGCCTCATCCCCAAAATGCCCCCCGGGCGCTTTCAATAGCTGCCCACTGCACCACCTGGTGGTGGATGGGTTAAATGCAGAGACTAATTTCGCCATTGTATGGAAACATACAGTGCTGACATTGTGATGACATTATTATTATTATTATTATATGTATTTCTATACATATATATATATATACATAATTGTGTGTATATACATATATGTGATACATAAATATATATCACATATGATATATATATATGATATATATATATATATATATATATGTGTGTTTGTGTGTATATATATATATATATATATATATTTATACACATGTACATACACACATACATGCATACATACATACACACAACTTCAAAATTACATAAATTCTCAACCTGTACTGAAAACAGTTTCTGCGTCTCAGCACCAGCAGCTGGTGAGAGGTGGTGACGTCAATTTGAACCCCGCCCACTGGAACCGGTACTGAAAGCATAATGGAAACACAACCTGTACCGTACCGAGTAGAGTAGAGCCGTGCTGTACCGGTACTACAGGTACTAATGGAAAAGGGCCATAAGAGTCCAGCTCTGCCACGTAAGACCGGGCTGAGTAGTAACAGCTATTTTCTATCATAAAGCTGTTAGGAACGATGTCTTCAGCTCACACAATGGCCCT